GGACTAGTATCGTTCCACAGCCTCCGGGAGTGGAAAGAACTGCTTTGCCTGGCTACCTTTCAACTTCACCGCCAGTTGACATCTCACCAAGGACCTCCCCGATCCTGGCACAGGGAGTTGCAATTCTGCTGCAGAACGCTGCAAGTCAAACAGCTCGGACAGAGCTCCTGTCCACTAATTTCAATAGATTCCAAGAAATTGAAACCGAACCTTCACTCTAGGCTCCGTCCTATGGACCTCTGTGCAAGCTTCACCTGCGATTTGAGGTTCTCCTTACATGGTCAATGACAGCAAAAGTCACACCATGTCCGAAGATGTACGAAGAAAAGTCAGCCGGGCTCAAGGGAACGAAGTAGAAAAATGAGGAAAGCATTGGCAATCCAGTTGCAGGGCAGTGCGTCCATCCCCCTTCACCTCGTGCAATCTCGATCCAGTGCCCCCAAGGGAGAGCTTGGTCCACTTGGGCAGTCATGTCATGGCAGCCGACGGAAGGATGGATTCTGACAATTATGGTACGCCACTTCTTGTCAACCTCATGTACGCTTATGTAGGTCCTGCTGTCAGCAGCCTGGGAAGTTGCAAAAGGAGAAGTTGCAAAAGACCAGGATCCATGAAACTACCCTATACAAGCATTGTCAGTCTGAAGGGGTAGATACCATGCGTGCAGCCATTGAGAAGGCACTCTTGCTGTGGGCCTTGGTTTCCCAGTTTGATTCTGACCAGAGCTGCTCCGACTCCAAATCTAGAGTCTTTCCTATTGTGCTGCAGTGTTGTCTAGTACAGCTCTGCGCTCCTTGCGGAATCTTGTGCCTTGTGTTGTCCAGTAGACAGGGATTCGGGCAATCAATCTGTGAGGGATTATTAAGATCTTCTATCTACTAGTTGCAAAGGCATTTGCATGCGGATGGATGTGGGCAAAGGCCAACAGTGACATATAACACTGTACCTTCAGTTTGGCACTCAATTGCTGAGCTGCTTGAAGTACAGGCGTGCGTGACAGGAACAAAGCTGTGGCATATTTGAGGGTGGACTTAGCAACACATCTCCCATCTCGCCCCGGGATGCCCCGGGGTCACCTCATGAAGGAGGTTAGAGGACTTATTTAATTTTGGGATGCTAGGGGGTTGGAATATGTTCTGTTCCATTGTCAATGAAAAATCGACTGGCCCCCCTCACTGGGAGACCCGGCTCTTGTACACCCTGTCAGCTGCATCCACCAAAGCATCCAAGGAAATACTGCCATTTGCCTGTAGGCTGGCGGGAAGCTGAGTGATTGGGAATAAAGTTTAAGGCTGCTTCGGACCACCCATTGTGGATCTCGCGTTTAGGCTGCCAAGTTGCAACCGGTTGAACAAAGGGCTGCGGTCTTCGAGCCTGCAAATGACAGAGTTGGAGGCAAGCTGTTGCATCTAACGGCGACTATGGAAGATGCAGGAAGCGTCACGTTGTCCGACATGGGAAGTTTAAGCGAATATTAAGGCCAGGAGCCCCTAGTAGCATCCTTGCTCCTAGTAGCGATGCCTTTGCTACTAGTAGCTTCTTGTTACTAGTAGTAAGGCCTGGAGCTCCTAGTAGCGTCCTAAGCTCCAGTCTCAACATCTCTCAACACATGAGTGTTCATCAAGCTCTTCCACGCGAGATGTCAAGTTCATATAGGGGTGAAAAATGCCCAAAATCAGGCTTTGCTTAGCTTCAACTGAGAGCCCCTACAGCGCCGCGCTGTGACCTTCGATGCCATGATTGAGATGTCTATATGCATGTGCATTTTGCATTCTGAAGAAAGTGTGCGCTTGTTGAGGCAGTTGTGGAGGGGCGCACGAGTCAGATTTTGCCGACTGTGTTTAGTCAAAGGTCCGAACTCAAGATGAGGATCAAGCAGGCTTGACCATGACAGCCACCGCAAGTCACACAGGAGGGAGAGGCCGATCGAAACTAATATAGTACCGTAGTAATTTGATGAGGAATTTCGAGTTGCAGCCTATCTCAGCATTGTTCCGCATTAATAACTCAAAACCGTGCTTTCCAGAAACTGGGCTGTTCTTTAATGTAAACGCTGTGCTGGCAGAGGCCATGACATTTCTGACACAGCCAGCACTCCATCATAGGGCGGCTCTGTGCTCAAGGAAAACATCATGGAGCCCCATCCTGAGACATCAAGGTTTTCTGTCTCACTCAACCACCAAGCTACCACTAGCAAATGTCTATGCCATAAATGATGTAAAATGAAAGTTTACTCGTGAATCCCTGAGACCCAGTCACTAATGCTCTGCTCCTCACTCTTTTCACAGACTCTCACCCGTCTCACCCCCCAACACGCCAAACTCAAACAGGCCTGCGTCAAACAGGCAATGAGCTGGACTGTAGGCAAGACCTGCCCAACGTATCAGCCCAAACCAGCACGAGGATGAAAGGCTAAGTTTCCCCTACAATCTGCTACATGAATAGTGTGAGCGCTTCTTCCGTGAAGAAGGGTGAGCTTTCCTGCGTCGGGTAATTAGTAGCTACTTAAGCTACTACTTACCTCTTTCTACTAGCTACAAAAGCCTACTACGGCCTACCCCTCCGAAAATTAACAAAAATGTCCGATTCCCAAAGTGCCAAAGGGTCGCCGAGTGTTGGGACTTCCATCTTCGTGATCCTCTCCGTGCTAGCTGGATCGGCCTTTACCCCTGCAAGATGGCTCTGCCTGAGCACACTTGAGCACATGAGGCGAGTGATTCGGAAGGCTCGAACAATGCACTGGACAACTACCCCTTGTGCTTCGTGTCAAGCACTCCAAGATCTCCAAGCCAAGAATGGGCTGAGTTTCATGCACCGTACGGAATTCAAGAGAGCCCTACTGCCGCCCCATGCTGTGTCCGGTGCAAGCTAGCAACTCACTTCATCACAACTCTTGAGGTTCCGGCGACCACAGTCTTTGCCATCCATGAAGTGGGAGCCTGTTTTGCAATATATCACGTTCGACGGCGATCAGACAATAGACACATATAGAAACTGATTAATTGGTGGCAATTAGGTGTATGACTTCCCTGGGTCCCCACGTCAACTGTCTGAGCACAACATGGTATATGCGGCGTTGCCATGGGGGTTACAGTAAACAAATAGCATGATCTGGTTTCTTTGCGTTTTCTCCGTCGTCTTCCCTGCCACATGCCAGCTTCGCAGCAAGGCCACCAGTGCCCTCAAACATGGACTTGTACTCATGAGTGAGCTCCTGGCCGAATCAGCGATCAGCGCGACATGGGCCCGTGCTTCAGTTCCGAAGTTGGCAGAAGAAATTTAAATGATCTGTCCCGGGAGAGGGCACCGGATTCCCTTGTTCCCTGCTTGCAGCATCTTACAGCATGGCGTTGACCAATGAAAACAAAGCGGCGCGGCTCCGCCCTCTGCCTGTTCACCACTCTGTGACCGAGGCTCTACTGCAATGAGACTGTAGGACAGGGGGAGCACCTAGAAGCGAATTCAACAAACATCAAAAGGATAAGTGTATGTAGCACAGCACCCACGGATAGTGTCAAGACTACCAAATTGTGCGACAGCTTCTGGTCAGCTGTTCAGAACAACTATAAGTTAAGTTAAGTTATGAGCACAAATATTCACCGTTCAGCAATTCCCTGATTGTTGGACGTCCAGATTCCACGCCTGAGAGATTGTAAACAGCAACTTTTGCGGAGCTGGCACAGGAACCTGACCAAGAGACTGCATGGGCTCAGCTAGAGGTTCCGAAAGAGCGAGCATAATAGCAAGCCAAAGGCGGTCCATGCTAAAACCACTCGCATTCAACAAGTTCCCTGTAGCCGGTCTTCGCTACCTCCATCCCGGAGACATCATGCGACCGCCATGTTGGCCTTGGGTCTCTGAGCGCTTGTGACTGCCCTGGGCCACTGGGTACAAGCGATCTAGCCAACACATCATCCGTAGAATATATCTATATATACATTATATGCAGGGTCTAAGGCAAGGGCGGATCAGCAACAGGATCAAAGGCATGATGCGAGCGGTAAATCCTGAATTCAGGCTTCCGAGGCCACTCAGAAACAAAGCACGAGAGCTGGTGGACACGATCCCAAAAGCAAAGACACTATCCAAGTCTAAATGAGTAGATGGCCAGTTGTGTGGCGGCACCCATGGAACTGTCATGAACTTTACCACTCTGCAAGCATGCAGAAAACGATTGACATCTGAGCTAAGGGCTCCTGCACATCTTCACATGTAGGTATGGCCTTGGGTACTGAGAGCTAAATTTCCAGGTGCAAACAATAACGGTGGCCGCCAGGGCCGCATGCTAGTCAGAAATGTTATAGATGGGAGCTCCGTTCCCAACAGGCTGGAGTGTGAAGCTTGTTGATCTCAGCAAATTATCAAACTTGCATGCAACCCCACCCATCCAACAAACACGCATTTATCACTTTTATCCGAAGTTGTCTGATTGAGAAGCTCTTCTCGTTCCTTCTTCCGGCCAACTGCAACCACATACCTCAAGCAGCGCAATAAACACTCCACCATCGATTGTACCCAGCCGGGATGGAGAAATATATTCGGCTTGGCATGACGGAGGGCATGGGAGGGCCAGTGGCAAGAAACCATGAGCAGAAACAGGAAGGGGAATCGCATATTACTTATTTACTTTGGGGCACACATCACATATACATTATATATAATATATATAGTATATTGATGTTGTTGGTGTGATGATGATGGTGGTGGTGATGATGATGATGTTCTGTCCAGGGTGCCATCTGTTGCTTTTGGGAAGAAACTCGGCCGCACATCATCAACACTCGTGGATGATTCGTTGTGTGGAAAGTGACCCTTGTTCTTTCGGATGATTCGGCCTGACGGCCGTGACAATCACCACACCTCTGAAATAATTCGACCTCTGTGCTGCAGCTGTGCTGAGCAAAGAGGGCATGTTTCACATCTCCAATCATCGCTCTGCAGAGGAAACATGTGGCTTGCATATCGTGACAAATGCCAAAATCCTGAATCGTGTATCCAAGTCACATTATCAAAGGTATGATAAAGTTGATCACTGAGGAGGTCGCCAAACCACCAACCTCTGCAATGGTGTCAAAGCCACTGCCAGTGTAAAACGGGATGCCTCAAACGATGCCGTGACGCAATGCAAGGAAAGCACGGTCGCGCACAATGTCGTGAAGGCCAACAAGTTCTCCCTAATCTTGCTCTCCAAATGGACCTCTGGAGCCTTTCCCTCGAGGTGAAAATTTGATGCCTTGCACATCTGTGCACATTATGGGCTATTGACCACTTGCACCACTCATTTCCTTTCTTCACACCAAGCTGAGGTGCTCATGAGCCACGGCAAAGCAACGGCTATGAACGTGGCAGCAGCAGGAGGTAAACCTCCCTGAATCCTTAGAGTCTCGCACAAGTACACAAAAGAATGCCACACTGACACTAAATATCTTTGGTTGCCTACCCAACGGTCATTATAGAGTTGATGCATTGATGCCGGCATTGTCACTAGTGTAAATTAATCCCTATCTAGTGGAGGGGGGACGTGCAAAAATGTAAGACAAAAGTAGGGAATAACATACTGTATATATATATTAATATATGTAAGTTACAGTATAACGACCAACAGGGCGCTAGGTCTCAAACCACGGAGTAAGAATGCACCACGAGACTGGCTTACAAATGCACAGTTAAGACACACAAGAAAGGAGTATATAATGAGCACAAACAGCAGCGGGTAAAGCCTCACCAGGGACGGATAATGCACTGGAAAAAGTATAGCAACGCAACAGCTCCATGTAAAAAAAGCCCAGACTTGGCAACTTGGGGAGAACAACAAGCTCAGCATGTGCGCTCTACTGGTTGCAGGCCCATGTCCATGTCCATTCCATGTCCAATGCAGCAAGTAAAACCCTGAGCCCTTCAACTTTAAATTGACTGACTAATTAGCCTTCCCTAATCAAAGAGGGCTCTACCCAACCTTCCTCTGAATATTGCTTTCGTCGAGGTCATACAACAAAAGCCAGGAATCAAATTGCAACGAATGAGGATGGCCAGGACTGGGATTGAAGTGACATTTTGCAGCATTGGATAAGCTGCAACAGTGGCTTGCCCCACTTTGGAGCCGCCGGCATTCCTTGGAGAGGCTTTGCTTCGCCTGGTAGGCCTTTGTTTTGTTGACCATCAGTGCCTAAAACAAAAACGAGAGCTTAGAAGTCAATGGGGCGCAACGCATGGTCTATACTTTAGATCAGGTTCAGTTTGCTGAACAGGTTCTCGTTGGTGTCGTAGAAGGGCGCATACGCCATGCCACCGACAATGCCAACTACAGAATAAAGCACAACCTGCGCACTTAAAAGGCACCGAAAGCCTCTTACTAGCTTCTTGTTACTAGTAGTAAGGCACCTGTTACTACTAGCGTGGCACTTGTTACTACTAGCTTATTGTGTCTGTATGTCTGGTTTGGTCCCAAGAGATTTGCCATATCAGGGTGCCATGAAACCAAATGCCAACGACCTACGGAGCTGAATGAGACCACCTGGCAGATCCAGTGAAAAGTGTCCCTTTTTGAACCGTGTGACTCAGCCTCTCACACTGGCAGCCAAGACACCACGAAGCACATGGTCGTCCAGAAAGTTGTCCCTGCTCAGGATGCTTTCAGTGTCTAGTTGACTTGTTCAGTCTCAAACACCTGACATTGGTAGGCACAAAGGCTTAGACTTACGATTTCCACTGCAGTAAAATGGCCTTTAAGGCATGAGACCGCAAGCCATGTACAGTCAAATGTGCTAAGGCCCCGCCGACAGGCACGTCAGGTTTCTTTTCATTGACCCAGGAGGGCAAGGCGCTTGTAAAGGCCTCAACTGCTTTGGAATCCCGATGCCACAGTTCCGCAGGATCACTGACATCTTGCACGTTTTGCTTCCTTTGCGACTGGACCACTGGGGCAGGAACAAAGTTGAAAAGGACGGTGCCAATCAGCGAGGATTGCGAGGCTGTAGCGATTGGCAAAGGATTGGGGAAGGCTGGCTCGGACAGCAACAGGCCAATCCAAATCACCTCAATTGTTGCAGGCCTGTTGCAGGCCCGAGGCCAATGACAACACTTCTCGAAGTTAGCCAGGACTATGCAAAACAGTTTGAACCTCAAGAAACCAAAACGTTACAAGAAGCTGCTGAATCGCTGCCATCACAATCAACCCAATCACGGCCAAGTACTGCAGAATTACATTGTCATCCAAATTCTTCACAGCGAAAGGAGCGCAAATCAGAGCCACTGCCAGCCTCCGTCACTGCGATGCAGGGCGCTCAATCATGACAAACTTTACAGTAAGTTTTTGCCGCCGCTGCTAGATGCTAGCTGCTGGGAGCTGGTGCGCAACTATGATCTGTTCTCATCAAGGTGCATAGAGCTGGAGAGCACCAATCTATCGCCAAACGGAGTCACTGAATCCGTCTGAGTGCCACAAACCTGAGATTCTGTACAGTGAGATTTCGCATGATTTCGGTTTTCCAAACATCAGGTCACGTTCTAATCAGACGAGTACAGCCCATGAAATTCAATCAACAAGAAATGACACGCAAAAGCTTCAAGCAGCATTCTCAATACAACATCGAGTTCGTTCCTGATATTTTCTTCCAACCTAGGATCTTAAGCTGGAAGTCGCAGGCTCAAAAGGTCCCCTTCTAAGCAAACAAGACACATAAGCAGCTTGAAGACCCAGCTGGAGACCTCAGGAACAGAGAGGGGGAGAGAGAGAGAGAGAGAGCAAATGGATAGCAATTTCCAAAAGAATCTTGGACAGCCTTGCCACTCTCTTTTGCACACCCCTCCTGGAACCCACTGTCCCTACAGTAGAGTGGCCCCGAGCCCTGCATTCCAAAAAAGGCCTTGCATGCCATGCTTCCTGGAGCACAGCCATATATATTCAGCATAATGTAGTCCATGACCTTCAAGAGTCATCCCCTGCCCTAAACTGTTTGGTTTTAGTTCGGCTGTGGCTTGTTCCCAGAGAGTGATAGCTATGGGGTTCATAGTTGAAATAAGAACTGGCTGTGCACGCTTTCGAGACAGGGTGTCGGTGCTGGTGCCGGTCCTCAACAGCAAGTGATCACAAACCAAAACCAAACCGCAAAAGCCACCGAAGTCAAAAGCAACAGAAACCACCAAAAGCCAGACAAGCCACCGAAGCCAAAAGCCAACAGCCACGGAAGCCACAGAAGCCACGGAAGCCAAAAGTCAACTCCGCAGAAGCCACAAGCACTAAAAAGCCACAGAAGCAACAGGTAGAACAGTAGCACAGTAGAATTCCAACAAAAAAGCTCCCCATTGAAAAGCAGTAGCACTGCGCACATCTATTCAATCACCAGGCTGGAAATGGCCCTGCAATGAGAAGTCAATTGGCCCTGACTTCATGCCAAGCAGGGGGGAACCGTCTGGGTCTTTATGGGATATTGATATGGATGCTACATTCGAGCAGAAGGTGAAGCCCAAACAGCTCCCAGTCGATCACCTGACCAGATTGGATGATCAATGACATCAGGTTCAGAATCGAGTTCACATGGTAGCCTCAGCACGAGGCTCTGCAGCGGTGCCAGCCCAACGTTGAGGTATTCCATGCAAAAACTTCAGATTCAGGCATCAGTGACGAGTAACTCATACACAACACAAAACTAACAAAACATCTTCCACAAACCTAAGAACGCCAAAGAACAAATCATTGTGCCTACGTAGAGTTCGTGAGGCAGGTAGAATGATGCCAGATTCGTAAATTCAATTGTCTGCTCGAAGCTGTGGTTTCCTGGCCAGGTCAAGTCCATTTTGCACATTCACCTGCACTGCTTTTGACCAAGGATGCACGCTGAGCTCATGTGCTGACATTGCTTCGCCAAACCCCAGTGCCAAAATTATGGTGGTCGACTTGCATGAGGAAGAACATGTTTTCTCACCTGATGTGGAGCACGCAAGTAATGAACAAAATATGTTCACCCAGCTCCTGGTATTGAACGCATCGCCTCAATCAGCATAAGGCCGCAAAGTGAGGAGAAGCCTGATGAGTGTACATGGCCTCTTGAGTGAAAGTTTTCACTTCTTCTGCTCGTAACGAATACAGTACAGAATATAGCATGTCACACCGATGTTTAGGTGAAAGGCTGGCCGCCTGCCACGACTGTCTGCACAAGGAAGAGTGAAAACCACCCAGCTTCTTGCGCCAGCGCTGGCATTGACACGATGGTCGGTCCTTCCACGTGTCTAAAGAACGGGCAGGTTGACAACTGATTGAGGAGTACTTAGTGCGGTGAGTACTTAGTGACTTAGTATCAAGATGTATCAAGCACCGTGCATTCAGCGCACTTCTCCTGCCAAATTGTTGATGAGCAGCATCACTCCGCCCACCAGTCCGATACTCTTCGCACCCGCAGGTGCCTCAGTGCCGTTGTCGCGGCGTTCCGTGGAAACTGGAGGGGACGGGGGGACGGGGAGTGGCCGGTGCTGTCTAAAACGGTCTGAGCGCAGGATCATCTCCAAGTTGCACAAAGAGCCTGTTCCCACGCACGCTTCTCCAAGGTCCACAGCTGACCTGAACTCCAACGATGTTGCAAACTGCATGAGAACTGCATCTTCTGGTGAGGAGTCCGCTAAATCAGTCGGGATCACCTTGAGACCTTGCTCTGACTGTGGCGGCGCAGACCCTTCGGTCTCCAGATGGATCAGATGTCAAAGAGGAGGAGCCAAAAACACTGCCAGGACCATGTTGGCAGACCTCAAGGTGCTTACGATGCACAAGGCCAAAATGGCCACGCCATACATGTCCTCTTTCCAGTCTCATGACTGAGCGCCCCTTGAGAGGAACTTGTTCAAACTTGTTCTAATGATTACGGTGTCTATTACTAATGATTGTGGACCTGCGACGTGCCACCCCGCCTTACCATCGACACCATCAGTTCAAAATTCAAAACGATTCCGGGACATGTTCACAACCTTTGACGCAAAAGCAGCGCTTCATTTGGTGGGCTCTCTGGGACATTCCCAAATTCGCAAGTTCTCAAACTGAGGTCGGCACAGTGACCTGGCTGGGGCCAATAAGAAGTTGACAAACGATCAAAGGGTCAAAGGAGACTGTAAGAAAGGTTGTTGATCTACAGCGAAACCACCACGGTATCTGATCTACACGGTTGACCATGTCAGTGCAGAACAATCTTCAACCTGGCAAGGCAACGAAGCAGGCCAGCGTCACGTAGCTCCCATCGGATCGCTGTGCCAAAACGTCAAAAACACCCTCCGCAACAATGTACATGCGCTGGCTGGCCTCAGTGCTTCCATGCACTGCTGAGAAGGTGCCAAAATATGATTCAAGGGCGGATTCGGCGAGTATGGATGCAACCCACCGTGCCAAGCTAAGCAGCTGCATTCCACTACAGTAACTAATTAAATGCCCACGCCATCCTACAGCGCCATGCAACATTCATTTCATCTGTCCTCGAATGGCTCCTCAATGTAGGACGAAACAAGATTCATCTGGATATTGTGAACTGCTACTTGGGAACAAGCTTGAGGTCCGTGCCACCTTTCCTTGTTGGAGGATGGTGTCATTCGCTTGCACCTGCTGCAATCTCCTCAGTCACCAACGCCAATTCTTGGCTCCCACACCCACATGCACACAAACTAACCAACCAATGTAATTGGGTCTGTCTTAAGACACCACTATACTGTGCCCGTTTCACGTCGCTGTCTATTGCCACCAGGTTTGAACAGAATCTGTGCTGAAAGGATCCGAGAGGAACGGTAGCGTCCTTGTTGCCCATCATAGTCATAGTCTAGTGTCTATTCCTTCCACACTTCCCTCGACTGCTGCCACTGCTACTGCAACTCCTCCTCTTCCTCCTAATGCTGCTTCTACTGCTTCTAGGGCTCTTACTGCTGCGGCTATTCCTATTGCTCGTGTAATTGGAACTGCCACTACTGTTGCTGCTGGTGCTTCTACCACCTCATGAACGGTACTAGTTGTGGGTTTAGACTTAGATCTTTTGGGTCTTGATTGAGGTCTCGAAGTCGTCCTTTGGAAGTTGCCTTAGGATTGTATAGGTCTTTGGTGTTCTCTTACTAGTAGCGATGCGTAGCTTCTCGTTCCTAGTAGTAAGGCCAGGATCTACTATGATCTACTAATAGCATTGCAAGCACCTGAGTTGCCTTGATCTCTGCCGCTGTCCCAAGTTTTGCAACGGATAGGCATTGAATGGCATAACCATTGCTGCGAGGAAGCCAGCAACGAATTTAGGCCAGGAGCCCCTAGCAGCTTCTTGCTCCCCCTAGTAGCTTCTTGCTCCTAGTAGTGCCACCTGCTCAACCGATGACATCCAAGCATCATTGCTCGGATGACCGCCCAAAGCAGCTCCTCTCTATGGTGACCCATTGCCACCTTCAGCCCGTCACCTGAAGATCTGTGCTTTGATGTGAAGATCTTAATCTTAGCTTTGGGGGTCAGCTTGGCCTTTCAAGATTTGATTCAAGATCCTCCAGCGAAAAGGACAGGAAATTGCAAGTGTTTGTTGCGTCTTGTGCCCCCAAACGTGAGAGCATCCACTGTCCAGCCGGGCCAACAATTTGTAACAAGGCATGGGAAACAAGGAGAAACCGCTCGGTGAGGTGGAAACCAGACTGGCACATAATTCAATCCCTCGACCAGGCGGAAAGTACCGACCCTCTAAAGCCGAGAAGCTGGTTTCAAAAATCAGTTTCAGCCACTCCTGTTGCCCAGCGTCAGGTGCTGCAAGAGACTGACGGAGAGGCAACGATTCTGGACGTCGGCAACGCGCCACACGCGCCTCAAGGCTCCTCACACGACAAACGTGGCTTGTCGTATCCACAAATGGATCTCTATCTGTGTGATTAGAGTCTTGCGCAAGCAGCACAATTAATCATATACCACTCCCCCCACCATGCCACCATAATTGAGAGCATTTTCATCGCTTGTTTTGGACTCCCGTCCGGCGCTCGTCCATTGGCGTTTCTGGAATGCTCGCAGGCGTAAGTGGAGTTGTCCGGCGACGAAACTCCTGGCCTAACTCCTTAGTCTGACGTTGGACGGCAGGCCCGGAACGTATGCCACAAAGATGCTAACTGTTAACTGGCAGAAACCAAAAGAGCATAAAGGTCTAAATGATACCAATGTGTTTTTTGAAGTATTCGTCTGAGGCGACCTCTATTGGGCTACAACCACCAGCACCACAAGCACCATTTAGAATTTAGATCATTTAGTATGCAAAAAGCCAATTCATCCAGGTCACTGGCATAGATCGAGTGAACTCAAGGAAGGGCTGGCCTCAAAGGGTCAGACTGAGGTACAAGTATAACATGTCTGAGTCAGGCTGCAAACACAAGCATAGCGTTGCAAAGGCCAAGGGTTTAACAGGAAACCCTCCAGCCCAACGGAATGACCAAACGAGGATTGGCTCGGCCATAGGCAGTCTAGACTCTAGACATGTTACCGTGCTCATTCTGCGTCCACTTGTCGAAAGCATTCCCGTTTTTAAGCTTTCGTTCAGTCAGGTCCCAGCAACTAAGCGGGGCACTGGACACCGGCGAAGCATTTAGAGACTTTGTCGCTCGAAGTTTCTCTTGCCTGAGCAGCTGACTGGCAAAGTCACCAGCAAGGAATCAGCCAGCAGTCTCGCAATATCTCACGATGATAGTTTTGGTGTGACAAGTCTTTGATCTCCAAGTGTGGTGAGAAAAAGAGTGTGAAACCTCAACAATGGCCAGGCCCTAGGCCCTAGGCACCACCCTGTGATCGAAGGCAAAGGCACCAGGTCATCCGTGACCAGTTGGGATGCTGCTCTGCTGCAGCCATGCCTTTGCAGTTGCAAAGAACAATCGCATGCGGGTCACACAAGCCACAAAGAAAGAAGACAACACTCCTTTCAGCTGCACATGGCTTTGGCAATGGCGAAGTTACGTTGTTCGCAAGGCAGCTTGTAAAGCGCATTGCGGCACTGGGCCTGTAACTCCGGGCAGGGAGGCTTCGTGTGACGAGGATTCTGTCCAATGTCCCTTAGATACCGTAAAAGGTACAGAAAGTCATAATTAAGAAACATACCCAGTATATCTCAGTATGCTATTGAAAAGACTTGGTGTGCTATTGCCAGTGATGTGCCAGGTCGTGTGCTCCATCTGGCAAGCAAGAAGCTTTTTGAGATACAGTAGCCAAAGCACTCCTTGAAGACACATGAACCGCAAAACAGTGACTCCAAAAGTTGGCAGAGCAGCTTCCAAATAAAGCTCATGTCACTAATGCTCACTGTATGTCGCCATGGCCTCATCCAAGTCCACTGATTGCTGCATTCTGCAGCCGTCACGGATCACAATCACATCACGTGCCAGAGGTGCCAACGCGGCTGGTACTCATGTGGAAACAAACGGTGCTATGGAACCTAAGCTTTAACTTGTCAAATCATCTCAAAGAAAACTCCTAAGGGCACCAATCCCGTGAGCAAGGTTACAGTTACAACTACAATACAAAGCAAATCAACAATGCGGTTCAGGTCCCGTGTAGTGACCTCCGAGCACATCTGACGCATTGAGCTACAGCTGCTGGTGAGTCAGTCAGCTCTCCAACCAAGGTGGCTGTGTCTCATGTTGCCCTCTCTCTATTCTGTGCAGTCATGTTGGCAATAGGCCTAGTAAGAAGGCAAATACTGCAGGGCTCGGGCAATTGGAGCTGTACCGATTTGATGGGCAAAATTGACTCTCACTGTCGATTGCAAATGGGTTTTTCAGGTTCTTCTGCACGACAAAATGTGGAAACACATCGATGTCTGGTTTCGAGACGATCGGACTGTAAGTCCACTACTTTGCAACGTTTCTTGGCTCGGTGCCCTGAGCAGGTCCAAGGACACTGTCGCTGGGAAGCCATCCTAAGATCCCAAACTGTGCAAGATTGACCGCTTCAAAGTGAATATACTTGCAGTACTTGCATACTTCCAAGTCATCAGGCCGACAACAGGAACCAGAACAATGGCAAGGACAGGCACTGTTGAGCCTGATGAGCTTTGGGACTGTCAGATCAGGAGATATTGGCCATACGATTGGGGTGAGGTGGGGCTGAAGTGAACTGCCCACAGCCAAGGCCCCAGCCAAGCTGGACAGAAAACGTGAGAGGCTCACCGTGGCGTTCTTTGCACCACCTTGGCGTTCTTCTGTTACGACCCACAAGGGCGGAACATCGCGGAACTGCCATGTGAATAAAGTTCATGTGGGGGTTGTCCAACAAAGCTCTTCTTTTTCAGCTTGTATCGCCGGCCTTTCGCGGTCCTTTCGCGTTTGCAGAAAAACCACAGGTATTCCTTTCGCGCATTGTGATAAGCTTGTTCCATTGCGCTGAGTTCACAGTGTTTGGGATATATATATATATCTAAACAAAGGTTTCAAGGCCATGGATGGGCAGATGCCCTTCCAGGCAATGCGCCCTTTCGCGGGCCTACCGCCGGCCTTTCGCGGCCCTTTCGCGAAAATCCGTGTTTCTGTTCGGGAAAAGGATGGTAATTTTATGCACATTGTATGTTATAAGTCTGGTTGGCACATGTCTTTCGCCGTCCTATCGCCGGCCTTTCGCGGACTGCAGTTTCCCTTTCGCGACATGTATGTTTTAACATTTCATCTAAATTCCTTCACTGGCAATAACGGACGGCCCTCATGTGCACATCTGCCCATCTCATAGCCATGTTCGAAAGCCACACTGTACTGCATCAGTGCAAATGTGAATGCAACCTACCACGCACTTTTTGGGCCGGCCCAAGTTACAAGTTCGCTTAGCGTTGGTACACGTGTGATCGGGCGGTGAGATATGAATTGGTGGTTGGAAGTTGGCCGTATTTATAAACAACATTAAACAACTAAATAAATAAACAAACTGCTCAGGTCCAGGCCGACTCCCAGACGAGCCACCTAGGTAATTTAGCGTTTGGACGGAGCGCATGGGGCATGTGTTGGCCCATCACTGGGCAAAGCACACAGGCGTTTTGCTTGCTTGTGTTTTGAGGAGGGCATAGGAGGGCCATTGCTTGCATGTGATTTGAGACCGGTCCGCTAAGGCACACGGGCGCACCATGTTCGGATCACGGTAATCTGCAATCAACATCAATTAAACCCAGCTGGCAACGATTGTCTGCCAAAGCCGTGTGACGTTGTAGGTGACCGCGTCTGAGAGCTGCTCAAAAATGAAGTTCGTCCTGGGGTGGCTGCACGAAAGGGTCTATGACGTGAATGAACACCTCCCCAAGAAATGCATGTTGTTCTACATTGGAACCAGCTGGGGGTGACAAGACATATGTATACATATGTTCCATCACGACAAGGAGCTTAGTAGATTAGTAGATCCAAAATGATCCAAAGACGAGAGAAACAGTAACATGTGCATCAATGTACTTGAATGGCTGGGCCACCGCACAGCTGACTCAGTGTATCAGCCTCTGGCGCCCCAAAGCCAGAGTCCAGACTTCCAGAAACCAGATATATTGGGTCACACTCAGCATGTCTCAGTGTATTCATCACTAAAGCTGCTAAAGGTCAGGGATGGCAAGGCGCCAAAATCCCGCAAAATACACAAGAAAATGCGTCGACAAGCTGAAAATTCTCTAGAGGCTTGAACCACTTGAATTCAAAGAAGTCTCAGACATCACAAGCCAAGTCTGCCAAGGCCCCCGCTGCTGTCAGGACAGTGGCTGCTGCGCCAGCGCCACCTCGGGATTCTCTGCAAAACGCCATTCCCGCTGTTGACGCGTTTCAGATGTTTCAGCTTCATGCCACACAAATGATGGCGACTGTCAAGCCGCCGATGTCCGCTACGATCCGAACTGTCAGCGTGGTTTATGGAGTTTGCCATTGCCTAGGAAGAAGCATCGCAAAGTCCACTTGGACACTCTGCAAGTGCTGAAGGCGAGCAAGCGACCACGAAATACCGTCCAATATCCTCCAGCATCTCAGTAACTGGCTGACAAATGTTGCTCCACCACCTGTCGCATCAGCCAACGAAAAGTGATGGGTGACGCAGTTTGACGCACGGAATGCAAAGCATTCAAGATATTCCAGCTGAAGATACATAGAAGCCCCCACGAACCTGCCTCCAGCAGGCTCCCATCACCATATGCATTGAGGTCCTGAAGCAGGAACTTCAGCTCCAGAAGCAGATCTTGCATCCTCGCTCTCGTGGACAGAGAAAATTTGGAAGCTGTGTGTTATCTTTCAGCCTGTTAGCCTTTCAGCCGCATCCGCCCCCGCAAATGACTCCACCCATCTTCAAGGCAACCAGAACGATCCAAACCATCGCGACTGGGCTCACAACGACAACGATGAACCGAAACAAATCACGTGCACGATCAGCTTCCCAGGCCTTCCGATGGCTTCCTTTGGCTTAGCAGCTGCCTGTGATATACTGTATATATATATATATATGTATATGTGTGTGTGATATGTATATGTCGCCCGACTTTCATTCTAACTACTGACACAAGGGCACTAAAACATCTGAACTGAGTTGCACCACGCCGCTGGTTAGAAGCAGCGTTCCGCTTCAAAAATGCAGTGGGGTGCCTGCTCGGTGCATATGATGGCCGTAGCTGCAGCTTGGAGGCTATCCAGCACTGCCAACACACGCTCGCCTAAATTGGACTGGAGATTTGGGATCGCCCTGGTAAATCAGCAATCTGGGCAGCTAAGTCCCAGCACATCAAACAAAACAGGATGACCGCAAGGCGCTATGCCCGGACAAACAGCTGCCATCTATGTGTATATATATATATATATTACGAGTACCTTTTGACGAGTGAACTGAGGTTCGCGCAAAACAAAGCTCGTCGGTGGCGAGCCGCGTAGCCGCTGAAACGCTGATAGACCTCACAAGGACCGCAAAATACCGCAAAGCATCCTGCCAAGAGTGGCTTTCAGAGCCACAAAGTGGAGCAGTATTGTATGACTTTCGCAGGCGCGAAAAGAAAGTCCAACTTGCCAAACGCAAATCCAAGACCAAGGCATCAGTGGTGGCATTCTTGCAGATCCCAATCACTTGAGCAGTGAAATCGTGGAGATGACGGAAGGTCTCGGAGATAACCTTACGAAAGGTGGTGATGGGATACCATACACAGCACGCGTTGTGCGACGTTGTGTGGTCAAACTCCATACCCCATAGGATCACCACCCACACCCAGCAGCCACCATCAAATCCATCCTTTGCCATGCATCATCCCCGCACACTTTGTTCGTTTTGGGGTCCTTGCAGCCTTCTTGTTTGCATCTTGCGTGCAGCTGAAGCCTGCGACCAGGAAAGGACTTGTCCCTTGCCTATGCCATCCCGACCCGATAAACTGAAGAAATAAACCTCCCAACCTGCAGCCTTGATGACAAAGGCCGCCCACCTTAGCCAAATCAGAATGGTCTATGCCTATGCTTTGTCCTCTTCGGGTCGGGTACAAACACGGCCAGTAGCTCTGCTGAATGAGCGGGTACAAGTCCCAAACCAGGCCACACACAGTCGACGCACCATGGCCCTTGGCCCAGGAGTATTGGAACATGGAATGACGTGCTTCTGCGTATCCAAAAAGCACACTTTCATGAAAGGAGTCTGAACGCTTCTGAGTATGCATCCGCCATGGGGCTGCCCAAGTGGGCTCCCAATTGAGCGCCAATAGGCATCAGCTCAGCTGCAGGAATCTGCCAACTGGTAGGAAATTCGTCACCATCCGAAACCGTTGCATCTGCTTGAATCTCCTCTTGTTTGAGGGGTGCTTGGCATTGGCAAAGTCTTGAGTTGTGATGACTCATACTAATCCAGCTATGTATATAACTGGTTCTTAAATATCTGGGTGCCAAGTCATGTTTTGCCGGCAAAGCTGAGAGCAGAGTGTTTGTCAACAAACAGTTTCCCTGATTCAGCCCTGACTGAACTGCTCACTCACTCGCTCACACACTCCCTCTCCCTGACATGAAATCTCCTGAATCCCTGCACCAAGAGTCTCATTCTCGAAAACAATCCAAGTTTTGCTGCCGTACTTATGTGCATGCTTGTAAGTTCTTGTCACATGCAAATAAATAAGAACACGGAGCGCTGGACAGCCGCCATTTTGTGGTCTGCGCTTCAGTCTCTTCCTCCTCTTCTAGCTCCAGCGAGCGCCACTGCGCAAAGCAGACCGAGTTCACAGCATCAGTATGACCTTCCAAGGTCCGCACACATCCTGACACAACCAAAAGAGTCAAAAATGCACTTCACAACCACAGCTTGTGATGCCAGACAGGGTCTGAACCCAGTTGATTTCTTTTTGCTGACTGGACCAGTGAAATAAAGAACCTCAGCCAGGTGCCACCTGGACTTTTGTTTTGGTCACCAGGCCGTCAGACCAGACTGGCTGGACGATGCTGGACGTAGTTCGAGCGAGGTTGAGCGAGGTTCAGAATGAACTAAAACACTTCAATATGTGCCTTGCTGCCAGTTCGTTTGTATTTACAATTTACGGGAATGTGTTAATGTAACAAAAATAATGTGTAATATATACAGTATATATATATGTGTGTGTGTGTTGACGTATACGTGCGTGTGTGTGTGTGTGTCCACACCTGTGCCTAAGGTTTTGAGTCACCAGCATATGCGGATATCTGGCCTGATCAGCCAGACGTACCTGCCAAGATTTGAACTGTTGAATAAGCTGTCTATTTCTGTGCTTTGCAGTAAGCGGCTAGTCTTCCTCGCCTTTCGGTTCGTGCACCTTTCAGTTTCTTCAAGTCAAGGGGGACTTCATTCTGATCCTAGCTCTTGCGAGCAACCATCTAAATGTTTTCGCCACAGAGTCCCACTGAGGGCTGTGGTGTGACCCCCATCGAGGGGCGCTGCATGTGCATAGACCCAGATCCTAGGGGATCCTTTCCGATTCTTCCGTCTTTGCTTTGGGACTTCGTTCTGCAACCCCCTTGATTGCCTGTTATGCACGATACCACTGATACTATGCCGCAGGGCTCACTGAGACTTACGCTCCAGTCAGGATTTGATGAGAAGTGTGAAACGTGTCTCAACACTTTGTACAAAACACAGTGTTTTTAAACGTACTTCGTTTTTAGACTTCACTGGCAGGGCTTTTCACAGGCAGGGTTTTTCTTGCGCAGTCTTCATGTCTAAGTAATCACCGAAGGCACTTGTGAGCGACTTCCAGTTGCATGTACTTGTCGTTTTCTTGGGTTCTTACTCTCTTGCTGTTGCTTTTCGTTTCTTGAGGCCTTTCTTTAGGTTCCAGGTGTTTTTCAGAAATGGGTCCGCCGTCCCCATAATCGGCTTAAATGTCAACGATGACTGCCTTCGAGCCACCCCTCCCTGCCCCAGGCCTCCGTTGCTATCCCACCCGCTATTTAGGGTTATAGCAGGAAATCGCACTCAAGACACTTGTGTGTTGGTGCCTTTCCTTCTATTTCTCCTGTCCTACCTCTAGCTACCCGGGCGGTATAAGACCAAAGTCCCGCTCGCTAACTTCTGCACGTATTGTAACTAGTGGGCCTCGTAACTACACCTATCTTTCTTTCTTGCCCTCTTAGTCTGCTTTTGTTTTGCTTTCTTTGTCTGTCTTTCTAAGGCTTTTTTAGGTGGCTAGTAATTTTTCCGCAGCGCCAATATTGGCGCTATGTGTACAAAGCTATGTGTACAAAGTTGTGTACAAAGAGCGCACTGATTACGGCCTTGTGTTTGTGCATGTATCCACACATGTGCTGAAGGCTTTGCGTCACAAACGACGCTACTAGGGGCTTCTGGCATCGCTACTAGGAGCAAGGACGGTACTACTAGGGGCCTCTGCCCGTTCTACGGGAGTAAGGACGCTACTAGGGGCTCCTGGCCTCGCTACTAGTTTGCAAGCAGGGGAGCGCGCGCCGAGTACGGCTTCGTGTGTGTGTCCACACCTGTGCCTAAGGTTTTGAGTCACAAAGGACGCTACTAGGGGCCCCTGGTTCCGCTACTAATGGTATCGCTATTAGCGCGCAGCTTGTCAATTTTCAACACGTTCACTAACCAGCAGGGGGGCCATCCATGTGCTGTGAGCGATGGTCCAACGAAGCGGCCACAGCATATGCGGATATCTGGCCTGATCAGTCAGACGTACCTGCCAAGATTGTCGGTTGAACTGTTGAATAAGCTGTCTATTTCTGTGCTTTGAAGTAAGCGGCTAGTCTTCCTCGCCTTTCGGTTCGTGCACCTTTCAGTTTCTTCAAGTCAAGGGGGACTTCATTCTGATCCTAGCTCTTGCGAGCAACCATCTAAGTGTGTGTGTACTTTGGAGTCACCAGGTTCCTTTCGGAATGTTTGTTTTGACTTTTAAGCAGGGGGTGCCAGAGCACAGTGGAAACTGCACCCAACGAAGCTATCCACCTGTGCTGGAAGCAGAGGCTGATCAGCTCTGTGTACCTGCTTGAATTTTAACATTTGCCGAGATGTTTGGTAATGGGCTAATTGCATTTCGCAGACATGCACGTCACGCCGTCATCTGTCGGTTCGATTTCGACTTGAGCTTTTGGCCCCTTCTCCTTTTGAAGTCCTCCAGGTTCCATAGGGTTTTCTTGGACTGTTCAGGATTTGGGAACCCAGGTTGGCGCGTGGCAACCGCTTTCCAATCAGTACGCATAATCTCAAGTGTGTGTGTGTGTGTCTGTATCTCTATAATCGATAAATAGATTAGACATAAGTGATGTGCATACTGTACACTCAATCTACTATAAGAATTCTATTAACTGACATTAACTGACATAAGTGTACAAATATCCGGCGGCGTTCTTTTTCATATGGCGGGTGGTCTCTTGTGAAGACCTCATTGATTTTGTCTAGGTTTTTTTCTAACATTTGTTTTTAGAAACCTTTGTGGGGTGAGGCCCAAGAGCTCTTTTATTGCCCGGTGACGAACGTCACCCACCACTTGGACCCCGGCCCCCCCACCAACAACCATGCATCACATCAACCATGCACCAGCAAATCCACAACACGTCGCATCCCTACTGTCGCAGCCGCAACCGTAAACCTGCACAAACTTCGGAAATGGCTTGGCACCCCGTGAAACCCGCGCACCACAGAGAAGGACAGGAAACCGACAAAAAAACACGCGCGAAACGACCAGGTGGCTTCACAACGACCAGCAAAGACTGCCAAAAAACGCGCCAAATGAACACCGCTGCAAATCACGCGCGCCTTGAGCGAACCCATCTGCATATAAACCATAAAAACTATATACCTGAGAATACCTGAGAAGAGGGAAACGAATGCCAGTGGAAGTTTACACGTCCCCGAGGAGTTCCCGACAAAACCCCTGAGACCGGTTGCACCCTCCTTCCGCCCCTGCTTTGGTCGTCGAAGGTAGGGTAGTGCTTGGGCTAAAACACTAGGCGCTATAGGATTTCGGTACAAGTAATTAGATGTACGTGCCTCCCCCAACCCCCCAATTATATATATATATGTCTTGCCCTTCCGCCTGCAGCTGACGTGCCCTTTTCTGGGGCACACGTGGATCTGTTGTTGGCCGTCTTGGCCGAGGTGCAGCTGGAAGCAGGCATGGGCATTCAAATGGCAATGTGTATGGCTTTGACAACACAGTGAATTTTTGACGGAGGTCTGAATCTGACCACGCAGTGATTTTGACGGAGGTCTGAATCCACTCTTACTAGTACCAAACTTCCCAAGCTTCCTAGAGCAGTGCAGTTCCAATCACGGATTGCGGACGGGCGCAGGTGCTCGCCAACGGTGCCCAAGGATGGCACCCAAAAGAGTGAAAATACCATGCAAGAAAAACTGTGTGAACTGGTTTTGCTGCTGGACCTCGTACACGTTGGTGTTATGAGTTCCATGGTGATTATTTGGCACGAAATCTGGTGCTGTGATCAGGTTGTTTTGCAGGCTTGTGGCGGCTTCATCTAGAATGGCATCAAGCAACACGATCACTAACCCAAAAGATCTACGCAACGTCAACTTGATACACAGAGTTAAAGTTCGCGCCAGGACTACGTAAAACAAAGGCCTAGAGACAAGCACGATGACCAAAATCAAGACGCTCAGGGTGAGCAACATTCGGCCACGAATTCGGTTGCCTAACCAAGTTAGTGAAGTTCTCACCCAGGCGCTCATCAAGGTCGTTGTAGCGCTAGTCTCTGGCGTCTCTGCGGCGCCCTGAGGCGCCTGCTGACTTAAAGCCCTTTCAGAGATTCCGCGTTTAGCAAACTGGTTGAAACGAGCATCAGTCCTATAGCTCCTGGCAGCTTTCTTCAAATCTTCCCAGCCAACGTCCAAGTAACGTGCACCACGAAGCGGTCCGCCGCTCACCACAGCTTTCTTAAACTGTTTTTGCAAGTCTCCCCCAATCTCTGACGGCTCGGACGACATCTTCAATACTAGTTGGTTCGCACACCTCACTGGTCACGATGTGCTCTTTTGGGATTCGGCTTGCGAAGAATTGAGGCAGCACTAGCAAAAATGAAAACCTTGCAAGTAGAGCCTTCAATCTTGCGGAGGCGTCAGGCGAAATGGTCAATGCAATCTGTTCAGCGCGCGCCACTTGGATGTAGTGCTCTAGTGACCTAAGGTGTGCCCATCTACCAAGGAAACGAACCCGGTTGATCTCGGTTCCTTCGTCTACAAGCCAGGTTGCACCTCCTGCTCTCAAAGAAGCAGGACTAAGCTTCAAGTTGCCAATGCCTAGTGAATCACAAACGGCTTTGAACATTCTTCTGAACTTCGGTGCACTAGCGGGCCATAAAACTGCGCCTGATTTTGAGCTGCGAGTTGTCAGCCAGCCTAGCCAGTTGACGGCATCAGGGTGTCTGATTTCAACATATTGTTGAACACCCATCTGTCTAGAATTCTTGGGTCTCCTGATTCGAACCACTGCGAAACAACTAGCTAACGACAGTGAGTTGGCAAGCACAACATCTGAGGCAGTGAGCCTTAGCAGTTCACCAGGCCGGAGCAAGCCCATGAACCCCACCACAAGCAGGGCTGAAAAGGCATACCATAGGTCAGTCTTCTCGCCACTATTCTGCCTCGAGGCCCACAGTCGCGACTTGCAAATCATTGCCGCAAGCAAGACCAAGGGTATTGGAGGTCGGAAACTCGAAGGCTGTTGTTCTTCCCAGTTTTTCAGAGACTTCCACGTGTTCTGCAATTTGCCCTTCAGACGTGGTCCGAGCAATTGCACGAACAGAACACCGTGCTTTGCAA